TGGCCGATGGGCGGGGCGGGCGGGGCGCCCCTGGGGCTGCCTCGCTGGACCTTTGGTCAAGCGGCTTTGCCCTTGCCCGAAGGGCTCTGCCATCGCTGCCGCCTCCTCCTCCTCGCCCCTCGCTCCTGCCGGAGCCCCACGCAGCCGTCCCGCCCCGCGGGTTCGCAGCCCTTCGTGTGCTGCCCGCTGCGGTCCACTTGACACGGCCCCGGGTGGGTTTCCCACAGCGCGGCCGGGGTACTCTCAGCTGATCCGGTTTCCAGCCCTCCCTCCCTGCGCGATTGCCATTAGTTTCAGCGGTGCTTGAAGAGAATCCCCATCTCCCTGTTCCCGCCCGAGCTCCTCGGGGTGCTGCTGGCCCCCTCCGGCAGGACGGGAGACAGGGAGGTGGACTGGGACGGACGTGTCCCTGGTGGAAATCACAGCAGCTCGCTGGCTTCGGTTGGGGCTGCCAAACCCTGGCTGGCAGCCGTCCCTACAATATGTGAGATCTGGTTTTGGTGGTTATGGGACTCTTGAGGTAAGCAGATGTAAACGGCCGCTGTTGTTTCACTGAAGCACCTGCCCCTGGAAGCCCTGTATAGAAATGCCCCAGGAGGAGAGGTCTGAGCAGCCTGTGTTTCACTTCTGAAGCTTTTGATTTGGCTCTGACAGAAGATTAAGCCTCATCTGCTTGACAGAGGAGTGACTTGGGGATGGATTTGTGGGGTGGGGAGTTTTCATTCTTCGTTTTGCCACGGTGTGCTCCTGGGGCAAGCTGGCTGGTGATGCTTTTCCCCCTGCATTTCCGTGCCCTGCGGAAGGGAAGGGGGGTCCTGCGAAACTCCCTCCTGGGAACCGAAGCGTGGCAGCATGGCTCTGCCTTGTGAGCTCATTAAGCGAATAAATCCCAGGGATGCTCAGTTCAGATGGGGCTCCTGCAGGAGAATTTATAAAGTCATTAAAAACATTTTAATGGAAAGCACTAACCATCTATAACACAGCATCTGTTATCGTGTCTTTGGAAAAACATGTCTAAATTAAGAGGATGGGAGACAGCGAGACAGACTGGTGGGCTTTCTGCTGAAGCAACCAGCTGGCCGGGGCTGCGAGGGAATAGTGGCGGAAACTCCTTCCCATCTGTAGCACCAGGCCAGGCCCTGGCTCCCCGGACTGCTCTGGGAGCGCCGGGCAGAGCTGGCTTTGGCAGGGATCAGTTCAGGGAGGAGCAGGGAGGGAAGACAGGAGCAGCTCTGCGGTGCTTCTGTCTCATTTCATCCCTCAGCGGGTATGAAGACGCAAGGCAGGGTTCGTCAGGAAAACATGGAGGAACATCATCTGCGAGAAGCTTTGGCGTCCTTGCGCTTACACAGTCTGGCCTGGAGAGAATGGAACGTCCTCTGCTATTAAAACGGGGTGAAATGGGCAGGGCAGTGAAGGGATATAAGTTCAAGCTGGTCCCACGTGGCATCAGCAGCCTTGCTTTCCCTGGGGGTGAGGGCAACAACTGGCTCCTGCTTCATCTTCACTGGGGTGTTTCAGCCCTGATGGACGACAGTGGTCAGTAGCTTCGACATGAGAATGAGTGTCAGCAGGGAAGGGGTCAGACAAAAAGGCAATGGGCTTCTGGTATGGCGTGGTTCTCCAGTCCTCCTCTTCCGACCTCGTCCCATGGCACTATCTGCAGGGTTGCTGCAGGAGGATTTGTAAAGTCATTAAAAACATTTTCACTGAAAACACCAACCATCTACAATGCAGCATCTGCTGTCGTGTCTCTGGTAAAGTCTATCTCTGTTCTGAGACTCGGGGGCAGCCAGGCAGGCTGGTGGGCTTTCTGCTGGAGCAACCAACTGGCCAGCAACTGCTTCAGCGGAGAGCCGTGCTTTGCTCCACTGTTGCCCAAGTGGGTGCTTTTGCAGCTCAACGTCTTCCTTCTCAGAGCGGCCGTGGGGCATCCCCCCCCCACCTGGCTCCCGTGTCGGAAGGGGGGAATGTGGGAGCCCTGGCCCTGACCGGGCTTGCTGGGACTGCTGTGGGCAGTGCGGCAGAGCCATCACGGGCAGCATTTCTGCTGTTTGCCTTTCAGCCTGGTCTGGAGGCCAGCGGCTACCTCCAAGGTCTTTCTCTGGTTCTCCACGAGCACAGCAAATAGCCAGCCTTGTCCTTACGGCCACATGTCTGATCCCAGGGGCAAACAGGAGCCTGGGTCCCAGGGCAGTCACAGTTTGTGGTTCTGACTTGCTGCTCTTCTTCCTCCCCAAGACCCTGGGAGGGAGGGAGCAAGCAGCTATGGGAGGCTCTGCAGAGCGGGGACCCGCACCCCCTCGCTGAGCCTGGCCTCGGGCCCTTGAGTCGTGGTTTTTGGCAGGGTGAAGCAGTCTCTCAGAAGCTGACCAGGCTGGTGGGTCTGGCAGAGCATCCGTTTGCCCAGGCTGGAGAATTTGTCCTTACAGCCTCAGCCTGCTGACGTGCTTTGTGGCCTTCAGGGGGGCTGGAATATGCCTTAAGCCTCGCGCCCTAGGGAGAAAAGGGGACAGACCCTGGCCCCCATCGGGAGAGACAGGTGCTGCCGTCCTGGCTCTGCGTTGCATCTGAAACGTGGGTTTTGATGCTGAGCCTGCTCCAGGGGCAGCCGTGCCTTCCTCTGCAACGCTGGTTGTAGTTACTCCGATCCGTTCCCTTCCGGGGGTGCTGCCTTTTGGCAAAGCACAACAGCAAAAAGAATTGCAGAGGGTTTCTCGTGTTTGCCTGACACTGTTTCCCTGCCCAAGCTGGGGGTGCAAGGGTGCTGGGCTCAGCCTTGGCGGGGCTGGGGGAGCTGCTGGTGCTGCCCGCTTTGCCTCACTCACAGGTTGAAAAATCGTATTTGTTTAAAAAAGAAAACAACAAGAAAAAAACCCAAACCTAACCAGAACAGATTTGGTATGAAGGGGTTTGCTTCTGTTCCAGTGTTAGGGCATTGCAGAGGGAGGCTTGGCCAGGTGGGAGATCTCGGGCTCGGGAGGGGAGCGGGGTGGCAGGATGAGGGCGACTCTGGTGGCCTTACGTGTCTGCCTTTCCCTCTGGAGCAGGAGGCGGCTCGGGGGATGCCTCTGAAGGAGCTGCTGCTTCCCTAATTGCCGGTGGCTGCTGCCTGGCTCCACCGAAACCTCGTCCCTGCAGCCAGGCCACCTCAAGTCCCGCCGCCTGGAAGCCGAGGTACTGCTCCCCTTTTCCAGGCCTAGGCTGTCCCAGCGACCAGGGTCCTTGTTCTCAAGGACCTTCTTCTCCAGCCTCTCTTCTGCGCCTTGGCTCCCTCCGAGGGACCCTGGTGGGCAGGAGCAGCTCTGCCTGGCCGCATCCCCGCAGAGCCTGGGGAGGGGCGCGCTTGGGGCGAGGGGGGGTTACTGCCAGCCCATCCAACTGCTGCTTTTCGGTATAGTGGCTGGCAGCTGGTGCCCAGCTTGTAGTGAGGGGAAGGGTCCAGGCACCAGCACCCCAAGAGGTGAAGTGAGGTGGCTGAGCCGGTCAGGCCTGGTGCTTGAAGGAGAAGTGGGCTTCAGCCCCTCGGCCATCTTCCTCCCCTCGGCCCTGCTGCTTCAGTTGCTGGGCTGCTCTAACTCGCAAACCCAGTGAGAAGCTGACTGTTATTTTGGGGAGAAGGGGTAAGACTTAATTTTTCTGCTGTGCCCAGTCAGATGCCTGGGTGCCCAGCCGGCAGTGAAGGCAGGTAGGGAGGTGGGGTAGACCAGGGCTTCCCTCACAGGGGAGAGCGGGCTGGCTGCGGCGTCGCCCCATGGCCCTGCTCTGCCTGTCCTCTCCCTCAAACCCCTCGTGGGGACAAGGGAGGGGCGGGCAAGGACCCTGGTGCTGAGGAGGATGAGCTCTCGGTCCTGAGTGGTTGCTCTGGGTTTGTGTGGCAAGGTCTTGGTAGTGGGGGGGCTACAGGGGATGTGATACACTCAACGCCATGTTTCTTTGCCTAGGAGTTTGAGGTTATTTCGGAGGCTCATGTGGCCTCTGCTTGCTAAATCTCCTTGCTGATCATTGTTGGGGTCTATTTTGTTCCAGGCTGCGGCGGCCGACATGGATTTTCTCTTGATCTGCCCCTTTCTGCTGGCGCTGCTGCTGCCCCGGGGCAGCTTTGCAGACCTGGAAAAGCAGAGGGTGGACTCTGGCTTGGAAATCTGTATCCTTCTCTTGCAGCCTCCGCTTGCCAACCTTGCCGGAGCAGGGGCGGGCAAGTAGAAAGCTCCCCACGCAGGCCCAGTGTTGTTAAGCACCCTGCGGGGGTGTCCAGGCAAAGGGGCCGGCTGGAAACCTGTGTCTCATCCTGGCTCTGGCGTTGGTCCTCAGCCCTTGTGAATCCCGTGGAGAACTGGGGGGCTGGGATGGTGCTGGGTGCCTGGCAGAGGGGGAGAGCGGGAGCGTGGTGGGAGCGTGCCAGCGGTGCCCTTGACAGCAGTGCAGATAAGAAGCTGTTTGAGGTGAAGCGCAAGGACCAGATGAATGCGCTGAAGAACCTGATTGAGCTCAACGACGTCAACCAGCAGTACAAAATCATCGACATCATGCTCAAGGGACTCTTCAAAGTGAGCCGCCCTCTGGGCTCCGTGTGCCGTGGGGTCGGGGAGGGTGGATAGGAGAAGCAGGGAGGGCCAGGGGGCCTCCGTGGGGTCAAAGAGAAGACTTGGGTGAGCAGGTGGGATTTAGGAGCTGAAGGGAGGACACCGTGGGGTTTCAAGTGGGGTGGCTGGGGCAGCACCCCCAGGGGGTGCTTCCATGGGGAAGGGCTGGCAGGATAGGCCGGTAATGGGTAACCGAGGGCTCTGGCAGGTTCTGGAGGACTCCCGGGCTGTGCTCATCGCTGCTGACGTGCCTCCCGATGGGCCTTTCCCTCAGGATGAGAAGATAAAGGATGGTAGGTCTTCTGCAGTCCTTACCCCCCTCCCTTTTCCAGTGCTCTGTTGCATCGCCAGTATTCCTCCTGGGGCTGACACCAGGGTAGTTACGAAATTCCTGTGTACTCAGACCAGGCCTGGGCTGGTCCCTGTCTGTCGGGGACCCTGTTGCTGCTTCTCTGACCAGTTCGTAGTGGTGAGCCTACCCATTTGCCCCCAGCCTCCCCACCTCCCGGTGAGGACGTAGGCACTGGTGGGATGGGGCGTGCGTACCGGTGTGCTGACAGGGTGGGTGGCTGTCCCCACAGCGTATTCCCACGTGGTGGAGAACACTGCCTTCTTCGGGGACGTCGTCCTGCGCTTCCCCAAGATCGTGCACCACTACTTCGACCGCAACTCCAACTGGAACAGCCTCATCCGCTGGGGCATCGGCTTCTGCAATCTGACAGGCGTGTTCGAGCAAGGACCCCACTCCCAAGTCCTGGGGCTGGTATGGCTCCTGGCATCCCCACACCGTGTTCCCTCTCCGCTGCCAGGGCTGGGGGGTGAGGTTTTTGGGGTAAAAGGAGGGCAGGGGGAGCATATATCCCATGTCCAAGGGATGTCCTTGGGCTGAGGGATGGGTAAGAGCACAGAGGGGGCTGATGGCAAGGAGGGGACCCTGGTCATGGGGGGGGTGCAGGTGGGAGGCACCGCTCCTCGACACGCTCTCCACTCTGCTCTGCAGATGGCTCAGGAGTTGGGAATCAGCGAGAAATCGCCCGATTACCGCAATCCCTTTAAAACGGACCACTCTGAGGTAAGACAGCAACGCTGCTGGCTCGCCCCGTGGGCTTCCCTATCCTGTCGTGGCTTCGGGCAGCCGGCTGGGGAAGGGAATGGGTGGCTTGGTGGGGAATGGCCAAAAACCCCCAGCATGGAGGAAGCTTGGCCGAAACATGTGCATCGAATGCCCCAGCTGGGCTGTGGTTGGTTTGGGTGCCTGGTGCTTGTCTCCTCCTCCTGTGGCTACATGCCCCATGGGAGCATCAGGACCCCATGCACCTTGTGCCATGTCTGACCTCAAGCCCCCAGGCACCGCAGGGCTTGTGCGATGGCTTTGGTGGGTTTGGGTGGGGTTGTGCATCCAGGAGGCTGCGGGGGGCTCCCCTGCACTGACCCCCTGCTGTCACCCTGCAGTTTTTCCCCAGTGCCGACACCTTCCAGAAGGCACTGCGGGAGGAAGAGAAGCGGAGGAAGAAGGAGGAGAAGCGGAAGGAGATCCGCAAGGGCCCGCGCATCTCCCGCTCGCAGTCGGAGCTGTAGCGGGTGGGGGCTTGCGCCTTGCGGCGGGGGCGACGCCGGCGGGACGCGGAGCGGCACTATCCCTCTTGGCGGCCTCAGGCCGGTGCCTGGTGGTGGTCCCCTTTCCATTTGTGCCGTGGATTTTGTTTCGTTGCCTTTCCCTTTCGCTCAGTGGGGGCTGGGGGAAGCTGAGGTGGGGTACCCCAGAGCCAAAGCACAGACGGGAAGGCAGCGGGGCTGTCCCCTGGGCTGGTCAGAGTGCTGCCACCCACGGTGGGGTAGGGCGAGGGGGACACACTGCAGCTGAGCCCCGCGGGGAGCCTGGGAGCCCTCCCTTCTGCAGCACAGGGTGCTCCACGCTGAACGTGCCTCCCCCGTCGTGGGTGGGCTGGGGAGCGCATCACGCCAAACAGCCTCATGATCAATGCTGCTTCTCTTAGGTTTTGTTTGGTTTTTTGTTTTTTTTTTCAAGCTGGTGAGCTCATTGGCACCCCCCCACCCGGTTATACCTGGTCTCTGCCCAGCCGCTACCTCTGCCGGATCAGCTCCCCCCTGTTCCCCGGCGGCTATTTTACCAAGCAACATGCATTTCATCGGTCAGCCGTGGCTAAAAAGGCTGACGGTGCCAGTTCCCGGCCCCACGGCATCCCACTCCCCCAGGGCAGCTACTGCAGCGCACCCCCGCAGGGAAGCAAACACACAGTGAATTTTTGGGAAGGAGGGATTTCAGGTCTTGGCCCTCTTTGCATTATGGGCACGCATCGGCCGCGAGCGCTGCTGATGCCGAGGGTGCCGGGGAATCCGCCCTGGCCCCCTGTTCTGCCTGCCCTGCACCCCATGCCCTGCCACACCGTCCTGCCCCCAGTGGGGGGCTGATCTTCTCTAATTTAGTCACCCCAAGTCCCCTTCTCAGGGGGGCAGCCGGCTACGGGCAGGTGGGGACAGCAGGGCTGAAGCGGGGAGGGAGCCAGCCCGTGGGCTGTGACCCTCCGTGGGGCGCCTGGGCTGCAGTGGGAGCAGGGGCCCCACCGGGACCCGGCACGACCCCCCT